AGTACAACGTATATAAATTTTACTGTAATTATTTTGCACTGGCCAAATGTCATCAAATATTACATAATATCATAATATTATAATGTAAGAAATAAGAATTTCAACACAATGTGACACATCATTACTTTTAATCAAATTAGTTCTATATCATGTACATCTTATATATGGGAATAATGAAAGAAATACAATTAACTTGAAGCATAATCAATTTTGCCAGCACATGAAGTACAACAAACTGTGAATTTCAAAATAAATTCTTCCTACTTTTTTCATGGAAAATTTGTCAATGATATTGTTTGTGTCAAGGGATTGTAGGAGGCCAGATTCAATGCATAATAATGAAAGTGAGTTTAATCTGGTTTGTCCCATGATAGACCTCGGGTGATTTTTCACCCTAGATAGAGTAGAGAAAGACCTCTCTCCTTCACAATTTGTAATGGGGATGGTAAGGAAAATTCTTATCAAGATACTAATGTTTGGAAAGGCAGTTGTCAAAATACCATCTTTGGACCTCAGCAAAGTGGAGATGTTTGTCACTGACCAATCAGAGTCAAAGACAAAATGTCTTTAAATTGCAAAAACTCATCTAGAACAGATGCTTCCAGGTCACTGGAATAGGTACTGACAACCAATTCCAGTTGGGCTTTAAGATCATCATATTGCATACTGTCATACTCCGAAAATGAAAAAAAATGTAAGTCATTTGAATAAGTAATAATCCAGATATCAAATTTTGGTCAACAGATCCTTCGTCAGCATGTTCAGGAGTACCTATACTGAGATTTTGAACAAAATCTATTTTTTGTCAGAAAATTAAAAAAATTGTAAGTCTTATGCCTTACAGGATTTTTCGCCAAAAAATAGATTTTGTTCAAAACCCCAGTATAGGTACTCCTGAACATGCTGATTAAGGATCTGTTGACCAAAATTTGATATCTGGATTATTACTTAATCAAATGGCTTTTAGAGAATTGTAATTACTTTTGTAATTACTGTAGCGAGTACCTGCACCAAAGACACTTTCAAATGGTTTAGTACAACATGGATAACTGTCTTCTGTTGACTCAAAACATGGAAGTAAACAAATAAATAAATAATAACTAAAACAAGGTTGATAGATGATAATTTGTACACAGATAGAGAGAGAGATACTGTAGTTGGAGGGAGGAAGCATCTCACCTGGCGTGGTTGACATGTTGAGTCGCACCTTGACCACGTCGCCTGTGGTGGTGGCAGCATACAGGAACTCTTCTGCCCCGTCCATCTGTCAATACATACACTATTTAACACACCCCCAAACACTCCACTATATTCAGTGCTTCATCTCAACCCACCAGGTGGAGGAGGACACTAGTTTCCTGGGGTAGCTTAGACTCCGCCTGCCTGAGCACATTTATCAACAAATATGTATTAATAACACAAGAAAGACATCAAAGACTATATAAAGACATTGACAGCCAGTCCTCCAGACCATGATTGTTGTGCTGACAAGTGACGCTCATTACTGTGCTGGTCACATGACTGGCATTGTATTGTTGACTTTTGCAATATTGGCCTTTTTCCATAAAGGCCAAACAAGTACTGTATTTAGCCTTTTAGCATAATGGCATTAAATGCCAGACCATGGTTAGGATAGGTCATGCTAGGCTAAGTTAGCAGAATAGCATTTAATGCTATTATGCAAAAATGCCTGCTGTTTGGCCTTATTGCAAAAGGGTCAATCTCACCAAAGGTTGTAACATACGCGGCATATAAGTTACATGTACACGCACCCACATAATCTCCCTCTCTCTCACACACCTGCAGACAAGTGTAGTTCCTCTCCAACAGACCAAGGGAGATGGGCGTGGGCGTGAGTCGATTGTTGTCGGGGTTGAGCGACCACGCCCTGAGCATCCTCGTGCCGCCCACCACCATAAGGGTGGGCGTGATGGGTGCCGTACACAGCAGGGTGGCGATGCCCAGGCCTGGCTCCCCCGCCAAGACACCTGTGGTAATGTTATACCCTGTTTCTGTACTTTTAATGGGACTATACATGTTGCTCTATCTAACTCTAACTTCCACTAACATACTCTCTTCACCTAACTTGAAACTTCACTTAACCAAACTTAACCTAACCTGAACTACTACAAAGTTCCTGGAGGCACTACACACTCTACACAATGGCCTCCTGGTGGCATTATCCTCACTACACAATGGCCTCCTGGTAGCACTATACTCACTACACAATGGCCTCCTGGTGGGGATGTGCCACACCACGAGGTAGCCATCTTGGACCGCCCCAAGGCTCACGACATACTCCTCGTTGCCAGATGTAACACCCACGGCGGCCACCTCCTCTCTGTGTACCGTGTAGCTGCCATACTCCTGGCGTTCAGGGTACCTCCACACTACCACCTTCACCTGACGGCAGAGTGAGAACAAATTATCCTTAATATTGGTAACACAGACATAAAGGTGAATAATATAATGATGTATACAGTGATTATAATGATGTTGCCAGGGGAACTATACTGTATAATATAGTAGTCGGGGTCAAAAGTCTTGAACACTTGACAGTATTTGGCATGTAAGTACCCGAATATCTTAGGTACAGATATCGTTAAGTGTTCAAGACTTTTGACCCCGACTGTACATAATACACTACCAGACATCCGGGGTCACTGTTCTGGGCAGACACTATCAGCTGGCCTGACCTAGACACAGCGAGGGCGGTGATGGGGCGGTTGTGAGCGTGTAGGATGGCATGACGCCCACCTGCACGGTCCCACACACCCACACCTACACCCACGGGGTACACCAGACCTTGATCCTTCTGCAGGTGTAGCCCGCCCACGACCTTCCCTGCAAGATTGGTTTATGTAGTGACTGGTCAAATGGGTCCCAGTCCTAATGGGTCCCAGTCTTAATAGATCCCAGTCCTAATGGTCCCAGTACTAATTGGTCTGAGGTTTATTAGAGACCTCTTAAGACTGAGGCCCACTTGACTGGTGTATCATTAAAGATAGATAGATTTAAGGAAGGGTATGATAGATTATCAGACACAACTGGGATAGATAAACTGTGATAGGATAGATAGATCTACGACAGGGGAGAATAGATTAAGTGACACGATCAGGCTAGACAGATGCCCGTACTACTGGGATAGGTAGACAGTAATTGGCTCACCAGGACTAATCAGAATAGACGGACAGCCACAGACAGCTTGATGAGAGTCACAGACAGCCCCCAACAGCAACAACCCAAACTAACCAGTAAAGCCAATGGCAGACAGCAGCTGTAGCTCCTTCGTCCTCCTGGCGGTCTTCATGGTAAGTAAACACTAGTCTGCAAGGCTGTGTATATTATCACTCTCGTCTCCCACACAGTTGTTCCACTGCCCTAATTCACAAACATCTCTATTTCCGTTAATTAACCGCTTCATATAACTTTTGCTGGGATAAAACGATATTATTTTCTTCCTCTTTATCTCAGGGTAGATTGGAAATTAAACTGTTGTGCACTTAACCACTTCGTTCACTGAAAACACAATAGCTGTTTTACTAGCGGGGAGAGTGAACAGGACAGCTGATGCGACACGGCGGCCGGTGGCGTCCCGGTCACCATAGCAACGTGGTTGTCAAGGGCGGTTGCTAAGGACGCTTTTTATAATCAAAATAAACCTCACGTTGGGGTCGGATGGTCGGTTATAATCTTTTCACGTTGATTACACAATACAAAATTCAAACTTTGCTGTCATGTGTATTATATCACCTATTATGTGGGGTAATATTGTTACTGTGTACAGTACACGTGAATCACAGTGACGCTACTCATCTGCTCAAGATTATATAATACAGAATATTAACATTTATGTCAGATTTGTCTACTCTTGTAAAATGACTCAAATTTTACAGTATTGTTAGATATAAAAAGACACGTCCGATGAAGACCAATAAGAAGAATGGCGTTAGTTATGAAGTCATTAAGCAACATTAAAAAAATAAAGATGTTTCATGTCATGACCACAAGATGGCAACACCACCGCGGGTCAGCTGAGCGTCGCGTCCCCGTTACCATAACAACCAGAGCTGACCACTCCTCACAACACTCAGAGGGGGAGGAAACAATAACAAGTTAATTCCTCCTCGATACAGTAAAAGTTGTTCTGTGAGTTGACTAGAAGTGTTGGAGGTCTGTCTTAGAGTTAATGATCTGACAGAAGAGGTGTAGACGATGACTGGAATAATGTCAGCGAGGGAGAAGCTGACAGTCGGCCCCAGTGCTGACACCAAGACACAGACCAAGACGTGTGGCCCCAGGTATGACCCACCTCTACCAGGCTCATTGTTCCTACATTCATACAATACAATATTAGTTAATAAATAACAATTACAGGTACAGGAACACACACACACACACACACACACACATCATCCTACCAGCACACTTACACTAATGACCGACAACATGATGTGTCTTAATGAGGCTCATGATTTATTGCGTAATTAAGATAAATGACATAATTATACTAAAGATGCTGTTATTCTTTACTGAAGACGGAACTGAGGGTCTCTCGGTTAAAAATAAACCAATATTTAAATCTTGAAAGTTAAATTGTTAAAAGGTCATGTTCTTAGGCTTTAAAAGCTAAATTAGACCTAAAGGTTAGATTATGTCAGACCATAGGTTAATTTAAGTTGGGCAATGAGATGCATGTTAAGTTAATTTGGGCACTGAAAGGTCACGAGGTTAAATTAGGCACTGAAAGTCACGTTAGGTACAAGGCACTGAAAGGTCACGTTAGGTTAAATTAGGCACTGAAAGGTCACGCTAGGTTAAATTATGTACTGAAAGGTCACAAGATTAAATTAGCACTGAAAGGTCACTACTAAAATACGCCTCTATAGGATACCCGCGCGAAGCCATCAGGCAGCTCTGTAGGGAACATGATCTGCAATCGACCAGCCCACGTCTCTCTACACTTTAAAGCTCGCTGTTCTCCTCAGTAAACCACGCCCTCCTCCTCCTCTTTAAAGGTAAACCACGGTCCCTCCTCAGGCTATACGGAGATCGAGAACCTGGAGGAGTACACAGGTCTCCGCTGTCTCTGGCTGGAGAACAATGGCCTGAGGAGCATTAATGGCCTCCAACACCTGCAACACCTGCGCTCCCTACACCTGCACCACAACCTCCTCACCTGTCTCAATGGTCTCCAACACCTGCGTTCTCTCGTCACCCTCAATGTCTCCCACAACATGATCTCCAACATTGAACATCTATGTGAGTTGTTCCCATTTTCTGTGGTGCTCTTTAAATAATACCACTGCACCATCCCTCTATCATTGTTACCACAGTGTACCAACAATGTACCATTAATGCCAAACTGCTCCAATACTGTACCATCACTATCATCATTGGACCATCACTTAGCCGTCACTGTACCATCACTATCACCACTATCGCCACTGTACCATCACTGTACCACCACTATCATCACTGTATCACCACTGTACCATCACTGTACACACTATCACCACTGTACCATCACTGACACCAATATCACATCAACGACACCACTATCATCACTGTACCCCAATATCATCACTGTACACCCCACTGTACCACCACTGCCCCACAGGTGGTCTGCCACACCTGGAGACACTACAGGTGAGCCACAACCATCTGTCCCAGGTGGAATCACTACAGCAGCTGGCTCAGTGTCCCGTCCTCTCCTGTTTAGACCTGTCCCATAACAAGATACAGAGCCCAGACGTGGTCCAGGTCAGTCAGTCTGTCTGTCTGTCAGTCATTTCGTTATGTTAGCGTATGTTATGGTTCAGTTAGGTTGCGTTAGCGTGCAGGAAGGTTCAGTTAGGTCATGCTAGCCGCATGTTATGGTTCAGTTAGGCTAGGTTAGCGTATGTTATGGTTCAGTTAGGTTATGCTTAGCGCATGTTATGTCCAGTTAGGTTATGTTAGCGTATGTTTGTTCAGTTAGGTTGCGTTGAAGGCGTTATGGTTCAGATAGGTTATGTTAGCGATGTTATGGTTCAGTTAGGTTATGTTAGCCGCATGTTGCGTCTGAAGTTAGGCTATGTTAGCGTATGTTGCGGTTCAGTTAGGTTATGTTGTTTTGCGTTGGCGGTTCAGCAGGTTGTGCTAGCGCATGCTATTATGGTTCAGTTAGGTTGTTAGGCGTATGTTATGGTTCAGTTAGGTTATGTTAGCGCATGTTAGTTCAGACAGGTTATGTTAAAGCGCATGCTGGTCAGTTGTTATATGTTAGCCGCGCATGTTATGTGTGTCTGGCAGGGTTATGTTAGCCGCATGTTGGCGGTTCAGTTAGGTTACTATGTTAGCGCATGTTGGTGAACCAGTTAGGTTATGTTAGCGCATGTTATATCCAGATAGGTTATGTTAACGCATGTTGGCGGTTCAGCTAGGCTATGTTAATGCATGTTGGTGTCCAGTTAGGTTGGTGTTAATGCATGTTGCACCCAGCTTTCAGGTTGCGTTGAATGCGATGTTGGCGGTTCAGTTAGGTTGTTGGCGTTGAAGGAGGTTATGGTTCCATTGAAGTCAGGTTATGTTAGCGATGTTATGGTTCAGTTAGGTTATGTTGCAGCCGCATGTTGGCGGTTCAGTTAGGTTATGTTAATGCATGTTATGGTTCAGTTTAGGTTGGTATGTTAGCGCTATGGTTCAGTTAGGTTATGTTAGCGTATGTTGCGCGTTCAGTTATGCTGGCGCTGTATGCGGTTCAGTTAGGTTATGTTGAAGTTATTACGCAGGTTCAGTTAGGTTGGCGTTAGCCGCATGCTTGGCGGTTCAGCGAAGCTGGCGTTAGCGCGATGTTGCGGTTCAGCCAGGTTATGTTGAAGGCATGTTATGGTTCAGTTAGGTTACGTTAGCATGTTGCGGTTCAGTTAGGTTATGTTAGCCGCATGTTGGCGGTTCAGTTAGGTTATGTTAGCGTATGTTGCGGTTCAGTTAGGTTATGCTAGCGCATGTTGCGGTTCATATATGTTAAATGCATGTCATGGTCCGAAGTTAGGTTGCGTTAGCCGCATGCTGGTCCAGTTAGGCCATGTTAGCCGCATGCGGTTCAGTTAGGTTATGTTAGCCGCATGTTGGCGGTTCAGTTGTGTTTCGCGTTAGCGCGGCAAGCAGGAACCAGTTAGGGCGACGCGCCGCATGTTATGGTTCAGCTAGGCTGGCGTTAGCGTATGTTATGGTTCAGTTAGTTATGTTTTGTTTATGTTATGGTTCAGTTAGGTTATAAGCAGCGCATGTTGGCGGTTCAGTTAGGTTATGTTAGCCGCGAGATGCTGGTGAATCTGTGCCAGGTTAAGCCGCGTTAGCCGCATGCTGCGGTCCAGTTATTGGCGCGAGCGTTACGTTATGGTTCAACAGGTTGGCGTTAGCGCAGCAGGTTCAAAGCCAGGCTATGTTAGCCGCATGTTATGGTTCACAGGTTATGTTACGCATGTTATGGTTCAGTTAGGTTGGCGTTACGCATGCTGCACCAGTTGTGCTATGTTAAATGCATGTTGGCGGTCCGCGCTGAAATATAGGCAATGTTATGCGGTTCAGTTAGGTTGGCGTTAGCGCATGTTACGGTTCAGTTAGGTTATGTTAGCGTATGTTGTTCAGTTAGGTTATGTTAGCCGCATGTTATGGTTCAGTTAGGTTTAGTGTTAGCCGATGTTATGGCACCAGTTAGGTTATGTTAGCGCATGTTGCGGTTCAGTTAGGTTATGTTGTACGATGTTACAGGTTCAGTTAGGCAGGTTAGCGTGATAAGCTGGTGGTTCAGTTAGCTGCCAGTTAGAGCGCTTAGCGGTTCATAGGGCTGGCGCTAGAAGCGATGTTGGCGGTCTGCTAGGCGAAGTTAGCTTATGTTATGTCTGGTTATTAGGCTATGCTTAGCCGCCATGTTGCGGTTCAGTTAGGCTATGTTAGTTTACGTTATGGTTCAAGAAGCTATGTTACGCATGTTGGCGGTGGTTCAGTTAGGTTGGCGGTTAGCCGCATGTTGCGGTTCAGTTAGGTTAGCGTTAGCGCATGCTGGTGTCTGCCGGTTGGCGTTAGCCGCATGTTGCGGTTCCGTTAGGTTATGCTAGCGTATGTTGGCGGTTCAGTTAGGCTATGTTGAAGCATGTTGGTGGTTCGAAGAAGTTATGTTAGCGCATGTTATGGTTCAGTTAGGTTGTGTGTTAGCCGCATGCTGCGTCTAGTTAGGTTAAGGCATAGTATGTTGCGTTCAGTTAGAAGGCGTTAGCCGCATGTTATGGTTCAGTTAGGGTTATGCGTTAGCCGCATGCTGCGGTTCAGCTAGGTTATGTTACACGCATGTTGGCGGTTCAGTTAGGTTGGCGTTAGCGTATGTTATGGTTCGCTAGGTTATGTTAGCTGCATGTTGCGGTTCAGTTAGGTTATGCTAGTATGTTATGGTTCAAAGCGAAGTTATGTTAGCGCATGTTATGGTTCAGATAGGTTATGCAAGAAGGCATGTTATGGTCCAGTTAGTTGGCGTTGTACGCATGTCATGGTCCAGCTAGGTTGGCGTTAGCCGCATGCTGCGGTTCAGTTAGGCGTTATGCTTATTAGCGCATGCTGGCGTCTGAAGCAGGTTATGTTAAATGCGATGTTGGTGGTTCAGTTATAGCCGGCGTTAGCCGAGCGTTGTGCGGTTCTAGTTTAGGTTGGCGTTAGCGCATGGCTATGGTCTGAAGTTAGGTTATGTTAGCGCGATGCGGTTCACAGGGTTGGCGTTCGGGCGATGTTATAACCAGTTAGCGGCGTTTAGCGTATGTTAGTCCAGTTAGGCTATGCGCTATATGCCGCGGTTCAGCGAGCAGGCAGCGATGTTATGGTTCAGTTAGGTTATGTTGTTAGTATGTTGTCCAGTTAGGTTATGTTAGCCGCATGCTGGCGGTTCAGTTGTAGTTATACAGGCCGCATGTTTTGTCCATAGGTTATGCTTTACGAAAGCTGCCCAGCGGCGGCGTTAGCGTATGTTGCGGTTCAGTTAGGTTGGCGTTAGCCGCATGTTGCGGTTCAGTTAGGCTATGTTGTACGCATGTTATGGTCCAGTTAGGCTTGCGCTAGCGCATGTTGCGGTCCAGTTAGGGTTATGTTATAGCTTACGTTGCGTCTGAAGAAGTTTGGCAACGTTAAGGCATGTTATAGTCCATAGGTTAGGCTTACGATGCTGGCGGTTCAGTTAGGCTGGCGTTAAATTTATTGCTGGCGTTCAGTTAGGCTGTTAGCGCGGCGCTGCAGGTCTGGAAGCCAGGTTAGGCGGTTACGCATGTTATAGGTTCAGTTAGGCGCCAGGTTAGCGATGCTGGCGGTTCAGGTTAGCGTTAGCCGCATATGGTTCCGCCAGGGTTGTTAGCGATGTTGGCGGTTCAGTTAGGTTATGTTAGCCGCATGTTATGGTTCAGTTAGGCTATGTTAGCGATGCGGGTCTGAAGTTAGCTGCGTTAGCCGCATGTTGCGGTCTGCTGCTTATGTTAGCGCATGTTGCGGTCTGCCAGGCTGGCGTTTTCAGCGCATTATGGTTCAGTTAGGCTATGTTAGCCGCATGTTGCGGTTCAGTTAGGTTGGCGTTTAGCGCATGTTGGCGGTTCAGTTAGGTTATGTTAATGCATGTTATGGTTCAGCAGCGTTAGCCGCATGTTGCGGTTCAGTTAGCTATGTTACGATGTTATGCGGTTCAAGAAGCGTTAGCCGCGATGGCCCAGTTAGGCTATGTTAGCCGCATGTTGGCGGTCTGCTACAGGGTTATGTTAGCCGATGTTATGGTCTGAAATAGGTTATGTTAGCGGCTGTTGGCGGTCCCAGCTCGGTTGGCGTTAGCCGCATGCTGGCGGTTCAGCTAGGTTATGCCAGCGCATGTTGGCGGTCCGCTTTCAGGTTATGTTAGCCGCATGTTGCGGTCTCAAGAAGTTACATGATATGCTATGTCCAGTTAGGTTACTGGCGTTAGCCGCATGTTATGGTTCAGTTAGGTTCGCGCGGCGTATGCTGCGGTTCAGTTAGGCTATGCTAGCTGCATGTTATGGTCCAGCTAGGCTATGTTAGCCGCATGTTATGGTTCAGTTAGGTTATGTTAGCCGTATACATGGTTCAGTTGTGCTTATGTTAGCGCATGTTATGGTTCAGTTAGGTTATGTTAGCGGCGTTGCGTTCAGTTAGGTTATGTTAGCGATGTTGGCATGTTAGGTCAGTAGGTAGGTTAGCATTAGTGGGGTTAACCTTAACATAATCCGTTGTATCTTACTATATTCTAATCCCAAACCACAACACTAAAACCCACACCACCAACTAACTCTACGGCGTGGGTGTGTTTGCCACAGGTGTTGGGTGAGGTGCGGGAGGTGCGGGTCCTCCAGCTGATGGGGAACACAGCCGTGGGTCAGGTGAAGAATTACCGCAACACTCTCATCCTTACCTGCATCAACCTGACCTACTTGGACGAGAGGCCTGTCTTTCCTGTCGACCGAGCCGCTGCCCAAGCCTGGTAGGATGGTGTGAAGCCTTGTGTAGGATGGTGTGAAGCCTCGTGTAGGATGGTGTGAAGCCTGTGTAGGATGGTGTGAAGCCTGTGTAGGGTGGTGTGAAGCCTGTGTAGGATGGTGAAGCCTGTGTAGGATGGTGTGAAGCCTTGTGTAGGATGGTGAAGCCTGTGTAGATGGAGCTGTAGGATGTGAAGCTGTGTAGGGTGGTGAAGCCTTGTGTAGGATGGTGAAGCCTGTGTAGGATGGTGTGAAGCCTTGTGTAGGATGGTGTGAAGCCTGTAGGATGGTGAAGCCTCGTGTAGGATGGTGTGAAGCCTTGTGTAGGATGGTGTGAAGCCTGTGTAGGATGGTGTGAAGCCTGTGTAGGATGGTGAAGCCTTGTGTAGGAGTGGTGTGAAGCCTCGTGTAGGGTGTGGAAGCCTGTGTAGGATGGTGTGAAGCCTGTAGGATGGTGTGAAGCCTTGTGTAGGATGTGAAGCCTTGTGTAGGATGGTGAAGCCTCGTGTAGGATGGTGTGAACCTTGTGTAGGGATGGAAGCCTCGTGTAGGGTGGTGTGAAGCCTTGTAGGATGGGTGAAGCCTTGTGTGTGGTGAAGCCTGTGTAGGGTGGTGTGAAGCCTTGTAGGATGGTGAAGCCTGAGGATGGTGTGAAGCCTTGTAGGGATGGTGTGAAGCCTGTGTAGGATGGTGTGAAGCCTTGTAGATGAGTAGTGGTGTGAAGCCTTGTAGGATGGTGTGAGCCTTGTGTAGGATGGTGAAGCCTTGTGTAGGATGTGAAGCCTGTGTAGGATGGTGTGAAGCCTTGTAGGATGGTGAAGCCTGTAGGATGGTGTGAAGCCTTGTGTAGATGGTGTGAAGCCTGTAGTGGTAAGCCTGTGTAGGATGGTGTGAAGCCTCGTGTAGGATGGTGTGAAGCCTTGTGTAGGATGGTGAAGCCCAGGATGGTGAAGCCTTGTGTAGATGTGAAGCCTCTGTAGGATGGAAGCCTGTGTAGGATGGAAGCCTGTGTAGGATGGTGTGAAGCCTTGTGTAGGATGGTGTGAAGCCTTGTAGGATGGTGTGGCCTGTGTAGGATGGTGTGAAGCCTTGTGTAGGATGGTGTGAAGCCTTGTGTAGGATGGTGGTAGGATGTGTGAAGCCTTGTAGGATGGTGTGAAGCCTGTGTAGGATGGTGTGAAGCCTGTAGGATGTGTGAAGCCTGTGTAGGATGGTGTGAAGCCTTGTGTAGGATGGTGTGAAGCCTTGTGTAGGATGGTGAAGCCTGTGTAGGATGGTGAAGCCTCGTGTAGGATGGTGGAAGCCTTGGTAGGATGGTGTGAAGCCTTGTGTAGGATGGTGGAAGCCTGTGTAGGTGGTGTGAAGCCTTGTAGGATGGTGTGAAGCCTTGTAGGATGGTGAAGCCTGTGTAGGATGGTGTGAAGCCTGTGTAGGATGGTGTGAAGCCTTGTGTAGGATGGTGTGAAGCCTTGTGTAGGATGGTGAAGCCTTGTGTAGATGGTGAAGCCTGTGTAGGATGGTGTGAAGCCTTGTGTAGGATGGTGTGAAGCCTCGTGTGGCTGTAGGATGGTGTGAAGCCTTGTGGGATGGTGTGAAGCCTGTGTAGGATGGTGAAGCCTGTAGATGGTGAAGCCTGTGTAGGATGGTGAAGCCTGTGTAGGATGGTGTGAAGCCTGTGAGATGCAGGATGTAGGATGTGTGAAGCCTGTGTAGGATGGTGTGAAGCCTTGTAGGATGGTGTGAAGCCTCAGGATGGTGTGAAGCCTTGTGTAGGAGTGTGGTGTGAGGAAGCCTGTAGGATGGTGTGGAAGCCTGTAGGATGGTGAAGCTTGTGTAGGATGGTGAAGCTGTGTAGGATGGTGTGAAGCCTGTGTAGGATGGTGTGAAGCCTGTAGGATGGTGTAGCCTGTGTAGGATGGTGTGAAGCCTTGTGTAGGATGGTGAAGCCTTGTGTAGGATGGTGTGAAGCCTGTGTAGGATGGTGTGAAGCCTGTAGGATGGTGTGAAGCCTTGTAGGATGGTGAAGCCTCGTGTAGGATGGTGTGAAGCCTTGTGTAGGATGGTGTGAAGCCTTGTGTAGGATGGTGAAGCCTCGTGTAGGATGGTGAAGCCTTGTGTAGGATGGGTGAAGCCTTGTAGGATGGTGAAGCCTGTGTAGGATGGTGAAGCCTGTGTAGGATGGTGTGAAGCCTTGTAGGATGTGTGAAGCCTCGTGTAGGATGGTGTGAAGCCTGTAGGATGGTGAAGCCTGTGAGCCTGAGGATGTGGTGAAGCCTGTGTAGGATGGGAAGCCTGTGTAGGATGGTAGCCTCTGTGTAGGATGGTGTGAAGCCTGTAGATGGTGATGTAGGGATGGTGTGAAGCCTTGTGTAGGATGGTGAAGCCTGTGTAGGATGAGGATGGTGAAGCCTTGTGTAGGATGGGTGAAGCCTTGTGTAGGATGGTGAAGCCTTGTGTAGATGGGAAGCCTTGTGTAGGATGGTGTGAAGCCTTGTGTAGGATGGTGGAAGCCTTGTAGGATGGTGTGAAGCCTGTGTAGGATGGTGTGAAGCCTGTGTAGATGGTGAAGCCTGTGTAGGATGGTGTGAAGCCTTGTGTAGGATGGTGTGAAGCCTTGTGGTGGTGGTGTGAAGCCTGTGTAGGATGGTGAAGCCTGTGTAGATGGTGTGAAGCCTTGGGATGGTGAGTGTAGGATGGTGTGAAGCCTGTGTAGGATGGTGTGAAGCTCGTAGGATGGAAGCCTCGTGTAGGATGGTGTGGCCTTGTGTAGGATGGGATGGTGTAGCCTTGTGTAGGATGGTGAAGCCTTGTGTAGGATGGTGTGAAGCCTTGTAGGGATGGTGTGAAGCCTCTGTAGGATGGTGTGAAGCCTTGTGTAGGATGGTGAAGCCTTGTGTAGGATGGGAAGCCTCGATGGTGTGAAGCCTGTAGGGTGGTGTGAAGCCTTGTGTAGGATGGTGTGAAGCCTTGTGTAGGATGGTGAAGCCTGTGTAGGATGGTGAAGCCTCGTGTAGGATGGTGTGAAGCCTCGTGTAGGATGGTGTGAAGCCCTGTAGGATGGTGTGAAGCCTTGTAGATGGTGTGAAGCCTGTAGGATGGTGGAAGCCCTGTGTAGGATGGTGAAGCCTCGTAGGGATGGTGAAGCCTGTGTAGGATGGTGAAGCCTTGTGTAGGATGGTGTGAAGCCTTGTGTAGGGATGAAGCTGTAGGATGGTGTAGCCTGTGTAGGATGGGTGAAGCCTGTGTAGGATGGTGAAGCCTCGTGGGATGGTGTGAAGCCTCGTAGGATGGGGTGTGAAGCCTTGTGTAGGATGGTGTGAAGCCTGTGTAGGATGGTGTGAAGCCTCGTGTAGGATGGTGAAGCCTCGTAGGATGGGTGTGAAGCCTTGTGTAGGATGGTGAAGCCTAGTGTAGGATGGTGTGAAGCCTCGTGTAGGATGGTGTGAAGCCTCGTGTAGGATGGTGTGAAGCTTGTGTAGGATGGTGAAGCCTAGTGTAGGATGGGAAGCCTAGTGTAGGATGGTGTGAAGCCTGTGTAGGATGGTGTGAAGCCTCGTGTAGATGGTGTGAAGCCTTAAGTGGTAGCCTGTGTAGTATGGTGTGAAGCCTTGTGTAGGATGGGTGAAGCCTGTGTATATGGTGAAGTGTGTATGGTGAAGCTCGTGTAGATGGTGTGAAGCCTCGTGTAGTATGGTGAAGCCTTGTGTAGGATGGTGTGGCCTAGTGTAGTATGGTGTGAAGCCTTGTGTAGTATGGTGAAGCGTGTAGTATGGCGTGGCCTGTAGTATGGTGTGAAGCCTTGTAGTATGGTGTGAAGCCTGTAGTATGGTGTGAAGCCTTGTGTAGGATGGTGTGAAGCTCTGTGTAGGATGGGTGAAGCCTCGTGTAGGATGGTGAAGCCTTGTGTAGGGATGGTGTGAAGCCTTGTGTAGGATGGTGAAGCCTTGTGTAGGATGGTGTGAAGCTCTGGTAGGATGGTGTGAAGCCTGTGTAGGATGGTGTGAAGCCTCGTGTAGTATGGTGTGGCTGGAACCTCTGGCAGGATGGGTGAGGAGGATTGTTACAGAATGACATGCAGTTTAGTATTAAGGATGTGTGTGTGTGTGTGTGTGTGTGTGTGTGTGTGCAAGGTCACCCAGCAGCAGCTTCCACAGGCAGAGAGGGCGGGCTGGAAGCTGAGAGGGCCACCAGGAGGAGGGCGGAGAGGAGCATCAGAGACAACTGACTGCGTCAATGGTGAGTATGGATATCTGTGTTGTTAACCTAACCCAACCTAACCTAACCCCAGTCTTACCCTAACACCTCTCTATTTAACCCAGATACACCCAATACCACTCAGATACACCCATACCACCAGATACACCCAATACCACCCAGATACACCCAATACCACTCAGATACAACCCAACACCACTCAGATACACCCAATACCACCAGATAATCCAATACCACTCAGATACTCCTAATACCACAGATACTCCCAAAACCACTCAGATACACCCAACACCACTCAGATACTCCCAATACCCTCAGATACACCCAATACCACTCAGATACATCAATACCACTCAGATACCCCAATACCACCAGATACACCCAATACCACTCAGATACACCCAATACCACTCAGATACACCTACCACTCAGATACACCCAATACCACTCAGATACCCAATACCACTCAGATACACCCAATACCACTCAGATACACCCAATACCACCTCAGATACACCCAATACCACTCAGATACACCCAACACCACTCAGATACACCCAATACCACTCAGACACCTAACAACTAAGATATTCCAATACCACTCAGATACTCCCAAACCACTCAGATACACCCAACACCACTCAGATACTCCCACCACCGATATACCCACCACTCAGATACACCCAATACCACCTTCCAGATAATTCTAATACCACTCAGATACACCCAATACCACTCAGATACACCCAATACCACTCAGATACACCCAATACCACTCAGATACACCTAATACCACTCAGATACACCCAATACCACCAGATACACCCAATACCACTCAGATACACCCAATACCACTCAGATATACACCCAATACCACTCAGATACACCCAATACCACTCAGATACACCCAACACACTAGATACACCCAATACCACCAGATACACCCAATACCACTCAGATACACCCAATACCACTCAGATACACCCAATACCACTCAGATACACCCAATACCACTCAGATACACCCAACACCACTCAGATACACCCCAATACCACTCAGATACACCCAACACCACTCAGATACACCCAACACCACTCAGATACACCCAATACCACTCAGATACACCCAACACCACTCAGATACACCCAATACCACTCAGATACACCCAATACCACTCAGATACACCCAATACCACTCAGATACACCCAACACCACTCAGATACACCCAATACCACTCAGATACACCCAATACCACTCAGATACACCCAATACCACTCAGATACACCCAATACCACTCAGATACACCCAATACCACTCAGATACACCCAATACCACTCAGATACACCCAAATACAGGTATACAATTGTTTCCTGTGTTGTTATTGTCTGATTTGTTTCTTTGTTTACATGTGAGGTCAAGTAGATTTGTTTTCAGTCACCGTCGTTATCATTATTATTATTATTTACAGAAAGTAAGTTATTTTACAAGCAGGTATTTGACACAGTCTCCTGTTATCTCTATGTCTCTTTCTCCATCTTCTCTTCACTGTGTCTCTATCTCTCTATCTTCTTATCTTCTTTCTCTATCATCTTCTTTTCTCTTTATCTTCTCTTCCTTGTAACTCTATTTTCTTCTCCTCTCTCTCTCTCTCTCTCTCTCTCTCTCTCTCTCTCTCTCTCTCTCTATCTTCTCTGTGTCTCTATCTCCTTCTCTTCTCTATTCCTCCACCATCTTGCAGACATCTTGAGGCTTCGCGAGAGAGTGTTGGCGGAGAGGGCGGCCAAGGGGGGGACAACACCCACTGATATGGGCATTTACGTGGAGGACAACGGCACTGAGAAGGTGTATGCCCTGACCCCTGCCGCTAAGGCCTGGGCCAAGAGCAGAGTACAGAAGATAAAGGAGGTCACTGCCCAGACGGTGACCCAAGATTGTGATAATGATGACCCAGGTCGCCAGGATAGTGACCAGCAGCATCACATAGATCAAGAAGATGTCTTCCCTAATGACGAAGGTTTCAACAAACTCCTCGAGAACTTGTCTGAGGAGTCACAAGATTCTGAGGAAGAACTCGAGGATCAGAGAGGAAGTCAAAACATCGAGGATGAAATTGATGAAGAGTTACCTGAGCTGGAGGAAGTCAAGGGCAGCGAGGAATACAAAACAACAGACAAGACGCTCATCAGTCAACACACCTCACCAGCAGAAGTTCCTGAAGGTGTGAACAAGCGGGAAGAGAATGAAGGTGTGAACAAGCGGGAAGAGAATGAAGGTGTGAACAAGCGGGAAGAGAAGGAAGGTGTGAACCGGGAGGGTTTCAGCGACGCCCTGAAGATTAAACTACCTCTTGAACCTGACGACTCCCAAGGCAGTAAAGTCTCCATTGATGACAAAGTACAGAAGGATTTCGAGGGTAACAACTCTCCTGCCCTACACGACAACTCTCCTGCCCTACACGACAACTCTCCTGCCCTACACGACAACTCTCCTGCCCTACACGACAACTCTCCTGCCCTACACGACAACTCTCCTGCCCTACACGACAACTGTTCCCAGATATCAAAATCAGAAAACGAGACAGAAGATAACTGTTCCACCTGCTCCTCAAACTGTCCACACAAGAGAGACGACGACCAGCTGTTGTACAAGAGCTGCCTCAACTTCCTCAAGTCCCACAGCAAGATGCCACAAGATGTTGACTCAGGAGGTGGTAAGGCGAATGACACCAAGGACCTCCTGGGTGAGATCTGGGACCTGACGGAGGTGATGCACACTCCAGCCTCTCCAGAACTCTACTCTGATTCGGATGGTCAGGCGTACGTTCGCCAGCTTGTGTCTGACCACAACACCCAACCCCAAAATGATTCTGACATTGAAGAGATTTTAGAAAATATGGAATTCGAGACTGATAACTTACAGTCTGTGTATCGACGCCATAACTTACTGGCGCTGAACACTTCACAGGAGACGCCAGATGACAGCGAACCAGATGATGATTTTAACGATGAAGTGGATGAACTAATTAGTAATAGAGATGTTAGGAATACTGATGACTTGAATGGGGCTGTTAGAGATATTATTGGCGTAAACAGCAGGGAGGTTAGAGTGAGTCCCACCCCAGCCCCTCTGTTTGGCGAGAGGTGGGTGGAGGAGGTCAGGAGACAGATCATAGAGGAGGCTGACTGGCAGGACGAGGTGGAATGCATCACCAACACTTCTGAAGAGGACGAGAGCGTGGATGATCTCAATGTAGAGACACCAGAGGAATCCAGCTTAGTTGAAGACGACTCTAGCCTGGCCGACGAGGAAGACCTGATGGAGGATGACAGCCACGAGAGTGTGTTCGAGGAGGAGAGTGTCAGCCACGAGAGCGTGTTCGAGGAGGAGAGTGTCAGCCACGAGAGCGTGTTCGAGGAGGAGAGTGTCAGTTCCATCTCTCCAGTGTTTAATAAGGGTCCAGAGGCCGACGGGTTGCTCAGGTATGGTGTTCCTGTAGCTCCTCCTCCGTTGTTTACCCAGGCTGACGGTGATACTTCTGACGTCACCCCAGGGTTTAAGGAGGACCTCGAGACGTCATCCTCCTGCTCCAGCCTTAGTCCCTCGTCTCTACATGATTCTTGGACCCACGAGGACAACATAGTCATCCAACCTTCTAGTGAAAACGACTCCTACTTCCCCACCACGACCAGCTCCCACATTAGTCGTCTAGTAGGTGGTACGACTGTGGTGTCAGGTCTCAGCATCACACCTCAGCCAACAGAATCTTGTTCCTGTGAAGACTCCCAGCCGACTGAACCAGACTGCCATTTAGCAGCTGAGGCGTCCAACCTGAGAGCTTTTGAGTCCCAGTTAACAGTCAAGGACTCCCAGAGGACAGCTAAAGACTCCCAGACGACAGCTAAAGACAACACACATTACCACAGGGATGACTTACAACCCAGGGACGTGAGGGAATGTCCTACGCCCCTCGCTGCCGACGTGGGGACGAAGAGAGGCGTGAGTGACGTGCGGCGCGTGACGAGGGACATGGAGACACTCGCAGGAGGAGACTGGACCTCCGGCACCACCAGCAGCAGACGTCAGGACTCCATCTTCAGTACTCGAGACGCCCTGAGGAGCTCGCACGAGGCCTTCGTCAGGGGGCGGAACATAGGTGAGGACTGTGTTACCTGAGAGAGAGAGAGAGAGAGAGAGAGAGAGAGAGAGATCCTTATGTAATGTTTTGTTTCAGGGAGTTTGTTGATAATCAGAGAGGAGGATGATGTCAGAGCTCAGGTCAACCCTCAGGTGGTGGTGCCATCTGTCAGTCGACCCTTCCAGGTAATTCTTCTTCTTCTTCCTTATTATTCCCCCTCCTTCTTCTCCAACTTCTTCTTTTATTCAGCAACACCAACCAACACTTTCATCACAACAAACCTGTATAATAACCTGTATATATATACCGCCACACCTCGTCTTGTTATACAGAGATGTGTATATATTGTCCAGTGTATACTTTGACTAGCTCTCTGTATTTCTTCTGTCTTTTCTACTTTATTTTTGTTAATTTTTATTTATCATTATTATTTTCGTGTAGAATTTAATAATATTTGGTAAGTTGTTTGTTTACATTGTTGGAATTAGACAGTTATGGCTTTCTGTCTTGTCAGGTGTGTGGGAGGCGAGGCAGACGACCCCTAGTAGTGGAGATTGAGGAGGAGGAAGACGTGTGATTAACTCCACTCTTAAGACAGCTCCCGTACCTGTATCCTGATGCTCACTTGTTTATCGCAGTCTCACTCGATGCTCACTTGTTTATATTTGGTAAGTAAGGTGATGTTCATTTGTTTCTTATGTAATGTAAAGCGATGTTCACTTGTTTATGTCATGTAAGGTGATGCCCACTTGTTTACCGTAGCTATAAGTTATATCCTTATTATTTGTGTCCTCTGATACTTATTGTAGTGTTGCTTATATTAGATCTGTTCAAGTATAAACACTATAAAGATTATTCTATCACTTATACTATACCAATAACATAAGATCTACGTTACTTATGTTGGCTTTGTATAGCAGCACCGTGACACTTACTTATTACTTAACACTTTACTGTAGAATTTCGTATGTAGATTAACCCCCTTGAGTACAATATACGTATTAGTGTAGTAAGAGGACTTAACCCATTGAGTACGATGAGTTCACCCCTTGAGTACAACACATTAACCTACAGGTGTTCTGTGAAGGTAACTAGTTAAGATACTGTACTCAACCATCCGTCACCACAGTACAACAAAGTCAGGTACCGACACTCAGCTGGGTCGACCGGGGTATAATAGTTTAATTACATAACAATGTAATTATAATATTAATGGAGATAATAGTCTAGAAACATGTTGTCTTAAGTATGATAATCAGCCTCATTACCCTACACTAATTATTGCCTTAAACTAATTATATAGGTTAAGTGATACCAACACTAATTACTACTTTCACTAATTAGGGTCATTAGGCTATATTAAGGTTATTAGTCTCCTTAATAACATCATTAACTTGTTCCTTCACTTGTGGCTATAGTCGTGTTGTTTATATCACTAGTTAATAAACTGTATACAAGTGTTAAGTAATGATTTAGTAACCTTTGTCGTCTTTTATATAAGTAGTGGATATGTCACTAATTGGAGGTGTGAGGCTGGGCTGGGCTGACGTTCAACACTACATGGTCACCTGGAGGTCAATAACTCGAGGGGTTTTTCCCGACCATCAACTTAATTTTTTAGTGGAGAACAAAACCCGTGTGTTGGCGGCTCTGTTATATACAGGGTGTCTCAAAATAAGTATAGAAACTACTTTACACATTTCCGTGGAGATCGCGTGAATGTTTATAATGCAATAACATTTTTCTCACGTGCTGATGGCCGAGATCTCCTACACATAAAGACAATGTTGCTCTTGTAATAAAAACATTCACGCGATCTTCACAACAAAATGTGTAAGGTATGTGTAAAAAAAAAAAAAAGAAATTCTGAGACACCCTGTAAGGACACTAGGAGAGACGCCATTTGGTAAACCTCCATCAATGAGGATCCGGGTCCAGGGGAAGACTGGCTGCCACTGACCCCCGGCTGCCCCTGGGGTGTAACGTGGTGTTTCAAGGACTGCGTAACCTTGGGAAGCCACAGGTAACTACAGGTACCAACTATACAATGACCTGCAGTTATTATGGCCGTGTATAATTGTTTGGTTACGTCTGGCTGTTATCAAGAATCTAAAGGTGGATTTTTTGTAGTAATTTATTTAAAGCCTTTCGTGAGTGCTTGGGGGAAGGGGCGTTCTTGTGTGTGTGTGTGTGTGTGTGTGTGTGTGTGTGTGTGTGTGTGTGTGATCCTGAAGTGTGTATCTGTGCCAAAAAACAGATAAAATTCTACAAAATCTTAATAATAATAATAATAATAAAAAATTTCAGTCATACCGGTAGAATTATTTACCTTATACTAAGAGAGGGAAAACAGAGAGCCATGACGTGATGTTCCTTCCTGAGAGACAGTGAGTTGGCAGCTCTAAGGTCCTGAACAACAACTCCCACTAACCAGGTGACCACAGCAACACATAACCTTCAAAAACAACACAAAAAATAACATTAAATCCGATCGCATTTAGAGAAAAGCCAATTAATCTACGACTCTCAACATGGGTTTACAAAGGGAAAATCTTGTCTAACAAATCTGCTGACGGTTTTTAGGAAAGTCTTCGAGGTAGTAGATAATGACGAAAATTACGATGTTATTTACTTAGACTTTAGCAAAGCATTTGACAGAGTACCGCATTAGAGGCTTCTGAGAAAAGTTAAGGCTCATGGTATCGAGGGGAAAGTTTTAAATTGGATAAAATCATGGCTCACCGATAGAACGCAGAGGGTCAGCGTAGATGGTGTTAAATCTGAGTGGGGCCGTGTAACCAGTGGGGTTCCCCAGGGGTCAGTACTAGGCCCACTCTTGTTCATAATATACATAAACGATCTAGATACTGGGATCAGCAGTGACATAAGTAAGTTTGCGGATGACACCAAAATAGTGCGGCAGATGAATTCAGGGCAGGATGCAAATGCATTACAGGAGGATCTAAATAAACTGCAGGGGTGGTCTGAAAAATGGCAAATAAAATTCAACACCAGCAAGTGCAGCGTACTTAATATTGAAAGAACAAATACTGTCAATGTATACAGCCTTAACAACATCAACCTAGAGAAGTCGACTTGTGAAAGAGACTTAGGGGTACTTGTAAGCCCGGACCTACGGCCTAGAAAACAGTGCGTTAATGTTCGAAATAAGGCAAACAGAGTATTAGGTTTTATATCTAGAAGTGTAAGTAATAAGAGTGCAGAGGTCTTATTGCAACTATATCTTGTTAGTCAGGCCGCACCTCGACTATGCGGTTCAGTTCTGGTGCCCTTATTATAGAATGGATATCAATTCACTAGAGTCGGTGCAGCGAAGAATGACGAAAATGATTCCGGGACTTAGAAACCTTCCATATCAGGATAGGTTAAAGAAACTAAACTTGCATTCCCTAGAAAGACGAAGAGTGCGGGGAGATATGATAGAAGTATTTAAGTGGGTGAAAGGAATCAATAAAGGCGATATAGATAAAGTTCTTATAATATCCGAGCAGGATAGGGCTCGTAGCAACGGATTTAAGTTGGATAAATTTAGGTTTAGGAGGGAGATAGGAAGAAACTGGTTCACAAATAGGGTGGTGGACGAGTGGAACAAGCTTAGCAACTATGTAGTAAGTGCGGGAACTCTGGAAAGTTTCAAAAGGAGGCTAGATAGATTCATGGATGATAGAGAGTGGTAGTAACTCTCGACAGGAGCTGCCATGCACGGACCAACCGGCCTATTGCAGACTCCTTATTTTCTTATGTTTAACTTAACCTAACCTAACCAATAACATGAATTCTAGCCTAACCTAACCTAACTCACATCACACACGTAGATAATTCGAGTCAGTGTTATTGTTTTAAGTAATTTCTCCCCTCAACAACCTATAATTCTTAAATCCTATGAATATTTGGGAAACTTTTACCACTGTATATAAAATTTTCCTCCAAGATTGTCACAAAATTGGGGGAAGGTGAGGTGACGGACATGAGGAAAGACACTAGCAACACGGACAGACACTAGTAACACGGACAGACACCAGCAACACGGACAGACACTAGCAACACGGAGAGACACCAGCAACACGGACAGACACTAGCAACACGGACAGACACCAGCAACACGGACAGACACTAGTAACACGGACAGACACTAGCAACACGACAGACACCTTGGAAGCAACACGGACAGACACCAGCAACACGGACAGCATTACCTATAACACGGACAGACACCAGCAACACGGACAGACACCAGCAACACGGACAGACACCAGCAACACGGACAGACACTAGCAACACGGACAGACACCAGCAACACGGACAGACACTAGCAACACGGACAGACACTAGCAACACGGACAGACACCAGCAACACTTGACTTACGGAACAGAAAAACACGGGGAGTGAATGTTCTTGAGGCTTAGTGTTGTGAGGCAAGGAGCGATCACCTGAAGATTAGCCCCCCCTCCCTCACGCTCCCTGGGGGTTAGGTTAGGTTGGGTTGGGTTAGGTTAGGTTAGGTTAGGTTGGGTTAGGTTTGGTTAGGTTAGGTTAGGTTGGGTTAGGTTAGGTTAGGTTAGGTTATGTTAGGTTAGGTTTGGTTAGGTTTGGTTAGGTTAGGTTAGGTTGGGTTAGGTTAGGTTAGGTTAGGTTAGGTTAGGTTTGGTTAGGTTGGGTTTTGTTAGGTTTGGTTAGGTTAGGTTTAGCTCTTTAGAGAATTTCGCGGCAAGAAATCCCCAAAAGGAACGCGAAATTAAAAGATACTTCGTAGTAAATTTTTTCTGTATTTTTTTCCACCACTGATGCATCGTCTTGCACCTGCAGCACCCCGTCCACACAACAACAACTCACAAAAAAATGCGACAAAAAAAAGAGATTAAGGATTAGATAGTGTAGTCATGACGAGACAAAAAAATTACGAAAAAAAAATAAAAACAAAAAATAGAGCAGCATCACCCGACCCTTTCTTAGCCAATCAGAGTGCGTCGTAGTCCGGGCTCTCCACCTGATGGCAAGAAGCAGCCAATCACAGCACATTTTCAAGGAATGTTTTTTTTGCTAATATCCCGAACCAAAGCAGCCAATGAGGGTTCATATCCCGGATGGTACTGACCAATCACAACCCTGTATATTTTTCTCGAGGTTTTTCTTGAGTTGTTTTTGAGATAATTATGTTTTTACTTAACAAAAACAGGTTGATCAGCATCCTGTTGTTGACTCTTAAGTAAGATTATTTATAGAAGCTAAACACACGTGGTTAAACAACAGTGTCGTGGTGAGTTATATCAGATGTTTATCTTCTTAACACAACACCTCCCCCCATAGTATGGCGACACCTGACCAAATGAGCTTTTAATGCAACCTAACCTAACCTAACCTAACCTAAACTAACCTAACCTAACCTAACCTAAACTAACCTAACCTAACCTAACTTGGGGTGAGACGAGGCTGGGCTGAGGTGAGTGAGGCTGGGCTGAGGTGAGTGAGGTTAGACTGAGGTGAGGCTGAGATGAGGTAAGATTAAGACTGGGGTGAGGCTGGGGTAGACTGGGGTGAGGTGAGGCTGAGGTGAGGTGAGGTGAGGCTGAGGTGAGGTGAGGCTGAGGTGAGGTGAGGCTGAGGTGAGGTGAAGTGAGGGAGGTGAGGTGAGGCTGAGATGAGGAGATTGAGACTGGGGTGAGGCTGGGGTGAGGAGGCTGGGGTGAGGTGAGGGCTGAGGTGAGGTGAGATGAGGTTAGACTGGGGGTCACTAGAAAGTACTCACAGTGTCTGACTATTTATAGAACTAAGAACCTGACTTGACTTACCTCGATTGATCCCTTGATTCTGGGCAAACCTGGAGCAGAGAGAGAGAGAGAGAGAGAGAGAGAGAGAGAGAGAGAGAGAGAGAGGGAGAGAGAGAGAGGGGAGAGAGAGAGGGAGAGAGAGAGAGAGAGAGAGAGAGAGAGAGAGAGAGAGAGAGAGTGTGTGTGTGTGTGGGAGAGAGAGGACTTCACCGCCATAATAGGTCTCAGGGCCTGCACCTTACTTAGCCGCCCGGGTGCTGCTATCTAGGTCGATAGATACACCCTAGGGCAGCACGTGACTCAAGGGTGAGAGGCTAGGGTGAGGGTGTGGGGCTGGGGGTGAGGGTGTGGGGCTGGGGTGAGGGGCTAGGTGAGGGTGAGGGCTAGGTGAGGGGTGTGGGGCTGGTGAGGGGCTAGGGGTGAGGTGAGGGCTAGGGGGGCTGGGGGTGAGGGGCTAGGGGTGAGGGTGGGGCTGGGGGTGAGGGGTGTGGGGCTGGGGGTGAGGGCTAGGTGAGGGGTGAGAGGCTAGTGTGAGGGTGTGGGGCTGGGGTGAGGGGCTAGGGGTGAGGTGGAGGGGCTGGGGTGAGGGGCTAGGGTGAGGGTGAGAGGCTAGGGTGAGGTGGGGCTGGGGGTGAGAGGCTAGGTGAGGGGCTAGGGTGAGGGTGAGGGGTGTGGGGCTGGGGGTGAGGGGCTAGGGTGAGGTGAGGGGCTGGGGTGAGGGGCTAGTGAGGGTGGGGCTAGGGTGAGGGGCTAGGTGAGGGGCTAGGGTGAGGGTGTGGGGCTGGGGGTGAGAGGCTAGGGTGAGGGGCTAGGGTGAGGGGTGAGGGTGTGGGGCTGGGGGTGAGGGGCTAGGGTGAGGGGTGAGGGGCTAGGTGAGGGTGAGGGGCTAGGGTGAGGGGTGAGGGGCTAGGGTGAGGGTGAGAGCTAGCTGAGGGGTGAGGAGGCTTGGGTGAGGGTGAGAGGTTATGCAGAAATACCTCACCAGGATGAGAGACAGAGACGATACAGACAGACAAATTTAGATTTAGGCGGGAAATAGGTAAACACTGGTTTGGAAACAGAGTAGTGGATGAATGGAACAAGTTACCAAATATCATCATTAACTCGAATACGCTGAATAGCTTCAAACACAGGTTGGATGCTTATATGAGCAATAGGGGTTGGGTGTAAACGGGACTGCCCAGTATGGGCCAATAGGCCCGCTGCAGTTTCCTCCATTCTTATGTTCTTATGACAGACAGACAGACAGAGGGTCAGTTTTTCATTTGCCCAGAAGTCATGTTTTGTATAGGAATGAACCCACACGCACCAGCCTGTACCACACACACACACACACACACACACACACACACACACACACACACATTTCCTTCT